GTGTCACCCTGTCTCAAAATAAAAAATTAAAAAGGAGCTGGGGGATTGCCCTAGGTTTCATCCCAGTACTGCACCACAAATTGATCAGTTAATTAGTAAAATCACGACTTTTTATTATTCTCATGTGCAGGCATTTTTAAACAATGTTGATGATAAAATACTCCTCCTAGATTTTGGGGTGTTTGTCCTCCCTCCGGGGGAGGTATCTCCTCATTACCTGGCACACTGCTATAGACCTTGATAGTCTCCCTAAAGCTTGTGTCAGCAGACAAGCGTTTGTGTCCTGGCTTTGCTATCTGAATCACTTAACTTCTTCAAGCCTCAGTTTTCTTAGTGGTAGAACAGAACTAAGATAATGCCCACAAATATTTAAAGAGAGAATGAGTATAAAATTAACTTACAAAGCCAGATGTGGTGACACATGCCTATAATATCAGCTCCTCCAGAGGCTGAGGCAGGAGAGTACCAATTTGAGCCCAGCCTGGGCAACTTAGCAAGGCCCTGCCTCAGAAATGAAAAGTAAAAAGGGTCAAGAGTGTCATACACTTCCAATCCCAGCCCTCAGGGAGGCTGAGGTAGGAGGATGCAAGTGCAAGGTTAACCTGGGTAGTTTAACCACTTGGCGAGATCCTGTGTCAAAATTTAAAAAGGGGAAGGGATGTAGCTCAGGGTGACGGCCCTGTGTTCATCCCCAGGTCTACAAAAAGAACTGGGGATATAGCTTGGGCACCTTAGGTGTGGTTCCCCAGAACTGGGAAGAGAAAATTGGCTTGGGAAGGGAGTAGCTAGATAATGCCTGCATGGCTGTGCAGTCCACCCCGTGGTGTGATGTGCAGGTCCCCTTCAGCAATGCAGAATTGTTGAGGAACTGAGCCAGGCTGTCCTGCATGCCTTAGGAGCCAGATTGGGACATTTCCAAGCACTGAGACACTGTTCTAGTTATGCCCCTTTTCAGACAACAGGGGAGCCCCCGTGAGGTGCCGTGCTGAGCCCAGGTAGGTTCCAGATCGAAGCCCCAGAGGAGCTGAGCTTTGAGCCTGGAAGGCAGCGTGGGTTCCTGACGCATGGCAGGGAGCGCCAGCATGACAGGAAAGGGACGGATTTATTGTCCCTTGGCAAACCCTCCTCCTCCTACGTGACTTGTGCAAGCCAGTCTCTGGCCCCAGACTCCCCACCCACACCTCTGCCTGTGTGCAGCTGAATGGCAAAGGCCCTTCTGGGACATTATGTCATGACTCTGCCAGTGACCCCCCCCGCTGTCCCCTTTTGACAAGGTTGCTGAACAGGCTGCTCAGAGGCTCACTGGTTAGCCTTCGTGTTCCCTCTCTGGTGTTCTCTGACAGGAAGTTTTCTCAGGCGTTGCTTTGATGGCAGGCCGAGACATTTCCAAGCACTAAGACACTTTTCTAGTTATGCTCCTTTTCCCTTTTCAACAAGGGAGTTTAACCTGTGAGATGCCACCTTGGGTCCAGGAAGGTTTCAGAGCAAAGCCACAGAGGAGCTGAGCCTTGAGCCTGGGAGGCAGCTCCTGAGCTCCTGAGCTTTCAAGAGCTCTTCGTTTTCCTGGACCAAGGATCAGCTGTTCCCTCTCGCCATGGAGGAGGAGTTGGCCTCTGTGGGCTTGGCATATGTGGAGCAGTGCCTCAGTGTCCTCATACTCTCTTTTCCTGTGGTGCTGGGCACTGAACTCAGGGCCAGGTGCTCTACCACGGAGCTGCATCCCCAGCCCTACTCCCTTGATGTTTGAACTGGTGTCAGCAATGACCTCTGTAAATGGTTAGCTAGCTCTCCTCTGCTCCTATTCTGAATAACTCCGAGTTGCTGTGTCCTAATTCAGAGTGGCCCTTGCTACCCACCGCTCACCCACTTGCTGGGTGACTTCTGTGTGATGGGTTCTCAGCTACTGGCTCTAGTAGTTTTTAAATTCCTCAGAGGAACTGGTGGTCCAACTAATCCCAGCACTTGGGAGGCTGAAGCAGGACGATCTCTGAGGCCAGTCTGAACTGTATAGTGAGACCCTGTCTCAAAAACAAAACAACATACAATCAACAAAAAGCCCTGGGGATACCATTGTGTGTTGCGCTGGCTACCCTAATGATAAAAAGTTGACTGATTGCTTACAAGACAGATGTTCCCACTTCTGGTTATATGGTGGAAACATGGGAGTAGGAAACAGTTTTTTGTTTGTTTGCCTTTTTCCAATACTGGGAATCGAACTCAGGACCTTGTGCTTGCCTGACAGGCACTCTGCCTCTGAGCTACATCCCTGGTCAGAAGCAACTTCTAAACTTATGCCATCTCCTTGACCACATATTTTAGGCTGTTTGAGTCAGAAATCCTGGCCTTGATGCCTGTCGTTCAGCCTAACCTGACTCTGTTGTCAGTGCTTACTGGAGACCAATATCATCGATACTTTCATTCTTCACAATTGTGTAGCAGGGAATTGTGATTCCCATTTTACGGATGGAGAAACTGTTACTCGGGAATAGATAGGGACTTGGTTATAAGGAAGCATCAGTAAGTCCAGTAGGCCAGGCTTGTCTGACCTTGATGTCTGCTGTTGCTGCCTGAACCTGGGGCTTGGCTTGGCAGGAGGTGCTCTGTGCAGGGGAAGGGGAGCTGGGGTGCAGAGGATGCCATGAGAGTGGTGCTTGGTATGTGGCTTCATCCCCTTACCCTCTTTAAATGCCTCCTCGTGCAGGGGGAAGAACAGGCCTGGTTGCTGCTCTCACGTTGAGAGAATGCAGGAGGAGAGAGAAAACACTTATTTGCTTTTTTGAGAGCTTGAGGAATTTTTCAGGCATGCAATATCAAAAATTGCCTCTGTTCACCTCTGAGGGAGATGCTTCACCCAGGTGACCACAAAACGTTAGCTCAGCTTTACAAAACTGCCTTTGCCCTGCCCAAGTCCCTGTGTACTCAGTGCAGGCTGGGGCTGAGAACTGGGGCTCTTGGGTCCCAAACCCGGCTCCCTGCCACCACCTGTGAGCTCTGTCACCTACACCCTACCCATTAGCCTGAAGGCTCACTTTCTCCTTCTGCCAAGGAGGAACTTGAGGGCTATAGGAACTCAGAATTGCCGGCCCCTCCAGCGGCCTCTGGAGGTGTCAGAGGAGAAGACTGTGGCTGCTCTGCTGCTAAGACTCAAGTGTCTGGGACCAGAAGCTTCGTCAAGTGTTTGCTGGCTCCCACTCAGGTACCTGATGTCCCTGAGGCCTGAAGTGGCTCCAAGTGGCCATCTGTGTTAGGGATCATGGTGCATGCATTCAGTCTGGTGTCATCCCACCTGCGTCAGCACTTGGCTTGCAGCCAGTATTGGGCTGCTCAGGTGCTGCAGCTGTGGCGTCAGTGGTCTCCAGAAAGCCTTCCCTGCTCCCCAGCCCAGTGTCCAGAGGCCTCTTCCTCCCCGGAGTTCCCTGAGCACCTGTCTTCTGTGCCTTTGTCACTGCCCTTCCTGCTCAGCCCTGCAGAGAAGAGTGGCTGGGCTGGGGGTGGCGATGTAGAGCTGCATGAGTCTGGGTTTGGCAGCCTCTGCAGAGCACCTGCCACAGGACACCATTAGAGTGTTGGTGCGTCTGTCCCTGGCTTGCTCAACTTCACTCTCCTGTGTCACTTAGCTTGTTTTGAAGGCCATGTCACTGAGGGTTACACTAAGAATAGAATGCTCTGGGTACAGTGCTATTTTCTGAAGTTCGGGTGAATATCCTGAGGATCTTGTCATGTAGAGATTTATCTCAGAGCTGCTCTGAGAGCACACCTGAGGTCTGGGAGTCTGTAACCCCTTCTAAAGTTGAGTTAGTTACCCACACCCTGGGTATGGGGGTGTGTGGAAGGACAGTAGGAGGACCTCCAGGAGTGGTGGCCACTGGTAGGGTCCCAAGACATAGATCTGCTGTGCTTGTAGCCTGCATAGGCTGGATAAGTGACCCCACGGCCACCATGGGGAAGGTCTTTCCTGGAGCTTTCAGAGAGCTGGCTCAGGGCCATCTGTCCTTCCCACAAGGTCACCATTTCGTGGATGCTGCCTTGGTCCCTGAACTGAAGGAGTCCCAGGCCCAGCCCTGGCGCTGATGCCCAATGGGTCTTAACTCCTGTAATCATCGGCGAGCCTCATGGACAGCAGGTTGGGCAGCTGGCTTTGTAAACACTGTGATAACCTCAGGCGAGCCATTTGACCTTTCCGTAGACCTCAGTTTCCTAATTTCACAGCTGTGGGTCACAGCGTGAGGACAACCCACTATGATGATTCTCCAACATGTACCCCAATCAGAACCCCACCAACATGTACCCCAACACGTACCCCAATCAGAACCCCACCAGCCCAGCCTGTTGTGGACACGGTGACTTCATTGAGCAGCTTAGACTTGGGTTCCAGCTGCTTCTTGAGAACAGAACTGTGCTGTCCTAGTCATGCAGGTGCTTTCTGGGGCCTCAGTGTACACCCTGCATATGGGAATCACCAGGCAGTCATGCCTGGAATCCCCACCTCTGGGAGGCTGAGACAGGATGATCACAAGTGTGAGCTGAGTCAACTCAGTGACCTGGTCTCAAAATCAAAAATTAAAAATGGGCCTTGGGGGGGGGGGCTGGGGATTTAGCTCAGTGGCATAAGCGCCTGCCTTGCAAGCAGGCAGTCGTGAGTTCGATCCCTGGTACTGATAAAAAGGAAAAAGACCAAAAAAAAAAAAAAAATGGGCCTTGGATGTAGATGGGGGGCAGGCCCTGGTTCCATCCCCAGTGCCGGTGCCGTGAAACAAAACAAAAGAACCCCAGATTCACTCCTATGAAAGATAAAGCATTCATACATAGATAAAGGTTCACGGAAAGGAAATCAGCCCATGTTGTATCTGGGTCATTGGTTGTCATCCCCATGGGGATGCTGGTCGGTGGCCTGATTTCCTGTCCCAGTAGAACAGCTCGATAGCTGGCCCGGGGGTGGGGGAATCACTTCCCCAGGGACCACAGCGACATCCTGATCGAGTGGGTCTGTGTCCCCACAGCGGCCAGTTCGCCATCGTGAAGAAATGCCGGGAGAGGAGCACGGGGCTCGAGTTTGCAGCCAAGTTCATCAAGAAGCGCCAGAGCCAAGCCAGCCGGCGGGGCGTGTGCCGGAAGGAGATCGAGCGTGAGGTGAGCATCCTGCGGCAGGTGCTGCACCCCAACATCATCACGCTGCATGACGTCTACGAGAACCGCACAGACGTGGTGCTCATCCTGGAGCTGTGAGTGGCTGCGGGACCTGTGGGTGGGTGGGCTGCTGGACAGGCATCAGAAGCGGCCAGCAGGGCACCGGGGCCGGAGTGGGGGTAGGGGGATGGTGGAAGCGAGCTCTGTGGTGGGCTGTGTCCCTCAGCCTCGGCTGCTTTCTTCCTGCTCTTGGAACTGGGCTGCAGGATGGTCGAACTTGCTTCATGGCGGGCCGGGTCCTGTCTGTGTGGCTTTCACCGGCCCCTAGGGACTGAAGGGAAGAGGCAGGTCTCACTGGGTGATTTTCTGGCTGGAGGAGGGCCTGAGAGGAGGGCAAGTCGGGGAGCAGAGGAAGCATCACAGGGGCTCTGCTCTGATCTCTGGGTCCCGTAACGCCCTCCTGAGCCCTTGGCTGGGGACAGACCCCTGCATCTGGGCTATCTGATCCCATTATGATCACTCGATTTAGGGAGCCAAGCCTTTGTGAGCTGCGTTGTATCTGTGATGTGGTCGAGCCCCGCAGTGACTGTGATGAGGGAAGGTCTTACTCCCCTCGAGGGGTTACTTCTATTCACCTCAATGAGCACTAATTTAATCCTCATCCCAGTGCTGTCACCCAGCTGTCACACTCGAAGTGTCCCCATGGTAAAGACTGGAACACAAGAGGCCAGGTCATTTGACAGGTCCTGTAGCCAGGCCTGGAATCGACATGGTTTGTGCAGATAGCTGAGCATAAGGCAGGACAGACTTACTGTGGCCTAGCTGGAGAAGATGTCACAGCACTTGGGAGAATTTGTACAGGTGACATGGAGACTAATGGGTTGATCCATCCGAAGGCATCTCCGGGGATGGGCCGAAGGGCACACAGTAGCACCTGAGTTGGGCTGTGGCATAAGTCACAGTTGCTGTGTCCAGTTGAGCAGCAGGACCTGAAATATGAGCTTCATAGATGTGACCAGTTAGCAGGGCAGAGGTGGCTGGTGTCTTAGCAGTCTCTGATTTTGTGACTTTGAACAAATCACTTCATTCTTGCATTTAGGTCTCACCTCTAAGCTAGGCAGCTGTCCTTAATCTGCCTATGGATTATTCTAATTTGAGAACTATCTTGATAGTGGCAAGACACTGATTTAAGCAACAGAGCGAGATTTGTACATCTTCCGTTTAATTCTTACCTTACCCATCCCAACGTTTAAACGCATGGAATGGCCATGCCTGGTTCCTGTCCAACATTGAATGTCTTCTTTTTCCCATGGATCTCCCTGCCCCTTAAACAATTGGTGCCTGCGCCTACCTGAGCCAGAAAGAACCTGATGGGCAGCCCAGTGGCCTGTCCTGAGGCCGAGACACCCCATTCCCACAGACAGTGACAAGCCTGTCTTCCCAGGAAGGCTAGAGCTGCATCTCTCAAAGGCTGTGCTCCAAACCTGTCCCCACCCCTCAAGGAAACAAAATAACAACAAAAAAGAAAACTTCACCTGAGGTGTCAAGAAATTGCAGGTATCGCCAGGTGTGGTGGTATACTCCTGTAATCCCAGCACTGGAGGCCAGCAAGAGGATCACTTGAAAGTTCGAGACCAGCCTGGGCTGCAAAGTAAGGTAAAGGCCAGCCCAAATTGCATAGAAAGACCCTGTCTCAAAAAGACAAAAAAAAAAAAAAAAAAAAGAAGGAAATTACAGGTATTCATAATCATATATTGCAAACATAGCGGCTTAAGTTTCTCTGTGGTTCCAATCAATCCTTATGTTTGTATACAACGTACTTGCATAATTTCCTGCTCTACTTTTCCCCTCCAGTTAACAAAACTCCACAAGTAGTCTTTTTTTTTCTTTCAAATGAGTATATCGTGTTTCGTTGAATTACATACCAGTATTTCCCACTGCTGGACATTTGGTTTTTATTTTCCAAGCTCTTTAGCTATTCCAGATTTTACTACTGATAGAACAACTTTCTTCCTGCAAGTTTCCCCTTTGCTTTTGAATTGGCTGCTTCAGAGAAATCCCCAGGAGTGGGAGGACCAGGTCAAAGGCTAATGCTTTTAGGCTGTTTGTGCCCTTTCTCACAGAGGGTTGGAGTTGTTTATCTGGCACCTAGGAGTGTTCCTGTTTGCCTGCAGCCTGGCCTGCCCTGGGTATTTTGTTTTAAAATACATGTCATCATTTATTCATCTTTAGAGTGATAAATTCTTGCTCCATTGTCATTGTATTTAGACCTTCTTTCATTGCTGGAGAAATTGCCTGCTGTCAGGTGGGCAGCCTCCAAGGGTTGGGAGGCTGGGGGACACTCTTAAGCCCATTGCTCCCAGCAGAGCTCAGGATCGGCCAGTAGTTATGCGGTCTCTTGGGACCTTAGGTGCACAATCCATGCAACCAGTTGTCACCTGGCTTGGCCTGCTGTGCTTGCTGAGTTCTGTCTGTTCTGTTTCTGTCTTCTCCACAACCAAGTTGTCTTACAGCTCCCGGATTACTGTCGGATTACTGTCGGTGGAGTGCTAAGAATTTATGAGATGGAAAAAGACCCAAGTTTGCTAAGACTGGACCTAAACCCAGTGTCTAAGGCTTAGGGCTTCTTGGGAGATGAGTCCCCGGGCTTTTGTGTATTGCCTTGGTGACTCCTTGTTGTAGTCAGGGGTTGCAAGGAAAACAATTACATACAGGACACATAATTCATAGTATGATTTATAATGGTCACCCAAGGAGCCAAATACAAAGAAAGTGCAGGAAATCTGTCTACACACTAAAGAATCCAGAGAGAATCCAGAGAATCCTAGAGAATCTAGCTGAGGGCCTGGATCCCATGACAATAACCTGCATGAATTCAGCTGAAGACTTAGAGCCCATGACAGTGCCCCGACAAGTCCAGCTGGAGGTTTAGAGCCCATGACAATGACTCATGCAAGTCTGTTTCATGGATCTGATCCCAAGGTCAGCGGTGGGAACTAGAATGTCTGCACCAATGGGATGAAGGATCTGTGCCAGCAGGATGAGGGTTCTGCACTGGAGCCAGGAAGCAACACTCAAAGAAAAGACCAGAGCCCCCCTGAAAAATACCACAGCCATCCTCAGTGACAGTGAGGTCCCAAGCTCCAACAATGAGAACAGCTGAGTTCATATGAGGAAGCCAGTGTGACAAGGTGCTCCTGGAAACTGGGCAGCATATATCTTCCTCTCTGGAACTGGGAAACAATGCTCAATATAAGGACCAGAGCTTCCTGCAAGTGAACCACAGCCATTCTCAGCGACAAGGCCCCGAGCTCCTCTCCTCTGAGAACAGCCAGGTGTGTATCAGGAAAGAAGCTTGACAAGCTCCTCCAGGAGAACCCACAGCAACAGGAGAATCAACAACACCCAACAACAACAACGCTACAGAGAACCAACAACACTTAACTCTTCCTCTCCAGGTCTTCTTTTTATGCTGGCAACAGTCCTCAGGTGGGCCATCTATGCTCAGCACCACGCTGATTCAGTTGAGCAGGTGTTTAAGCTGACCACCATTTTTCAGTCCGACACACTCTGCGTGGGCCAGTTGGGAGCACTTGGCCTCTGATCCTTGTGTGTCCTCACAGGTGAGTAGCTTTGCCAGTAGCTGAACGTGGTGTTATGTCCACCTGCTTGGCTGGAGGTTTGAGGGCTGGCTCTGCCCCATCCCACTCCGTCCTCAGCAGCTGCTGTGTGGTGTGGGACTTCCTCCTGGTTTGTGTTCCTGTGGCCAGTTCTAGGTGGACATATCCTGCCCTGACTCAGGCTCCATTCTGTGGTCATTGTCCTACCTGCCACCTCCTTAAAAGCAGCTACTTCTTGTCTTGGCTGTTGAAGGCAAAGTTGGGGAGGATTCATAGTCGTCCATATAGATTGGTAAAAAGAATATCTTCAGCATGTCAGTGGATTAACTTGCGTCCGAGGTTGAGCTTGCTGTGAATGATGAGTATCTGCCCTGCAAGATAGCTCTTGCTGCAGCCCTGATGGCTTTGGGGTGCCCTTGGCTCAGAGGCTGTGGCAAGTAACACCCTGGCAGTTGGATACCAGGGACAGCCAGGCCCAGTGCAGTGGGGTGGTGGTGACAAGCCAAGTCTGGCTTCCCTGCCCAGGAGCCCATTCCTCCCCACCACTGCCTGCTCCCCAAGTCTGCACATATGTTCCTGGGGAATCCTGGAACCCTGTAGGGAGCAAGGGGACTAAGGTCAGGTGAGGAGGGAAGGGTAATCCTGGGACTGTAGGAGAAAAGAAGAGGTCAGGCTTTCACGGTAGAGCTAGAGAGATTTAGAATAAGAAAAGAGAAAATTGCAAGATGAGAAATGACTTTTGAGCAGAGGTCTTACAGTCCAGCCACTCTTGGAGGAAACTATGTTGTCTGGAGTCCCGCCTACACAGGAGACTGAGAACAGAGGGTCCCTTGAGCCCTGTAGTGCAGCACTGTGCTGAGCTATACCCATTGGGCCCAAACAAGGTATCAAGAGTGAGATTGTGCCAACGAATGGCCATTGCAGACCAGCCTGGGGAACACAGCCAGAGCTGTGACTGGGGATTGGAAACAGGGCCTTGCACATGCTAGATAGGAGCTCTACCACTGAGCTGTACCCCTCACAGAAATCCCTGTCTCGAAAGAGAGGGAGAAAGTATGCTAGTGCTGTTCTAGAAGAAGAAGGAGAGAAAGAAAGAAAGAAAAAGAAAGGAAAAGAAAGAGGAAAGGAGAAGAAAAGAAAGAACTATATTAGTAGGAAAAAGAAAACAAAACCCAACCTCACTGCTGGGCTTTGAACAGAGGCACCTGAGTGCTGGCCCAATGTCCCCAGCCTGATGTCCAGGATTGTGCAGCCTCTCACCTTTCCCTTGGGAGGACTTCTGAGGCTGGCAATGCCTGTCCTCTTCTTCATCCGGAGGAAACCATGTCTCCCTAGGTGTCTTCCCAGTCCTCACCCAGACAGGGCTTTCATGTCAGTGGCTTTGGGTTGTTGCAGACCACTATAAGGTGGCTCTGAGCAGAATTTAAATTTAACTAATTGGCTATGTTTATCTGTGAATCTGTACTAGACGTAGG